GCGAAAGGCAGCCCTGGCCCCCCCATCCCTTCCCCTCCCACCCCGCGGTGCCCGAGCCCGCCCAGCCGTTCCGGAGCGAGGGCCACTTGCTAGTCTAAAGGACACGTGGCTGAAATGATCCCAGGCTTCGTGTTCTGTGGATCCGTCTGCCTGCCTCGGTACCCTTCCCTCTGATTTTTGAACCTACTGGCTAGTTTTAACTTGATTCGATGGGGCGTTAAACCTCAAAGACATCACATTCCTCCAGGTAGCATTAAGGCAGAGTGAGGATGCGCACATACGGACAACTACTTTGCCACACAGCGATGCTGAAGTCTTAACAGGAGCTGGGCTAGCTCTGCCGCCCGGATGCTCTGGTGCCAAGATAATTGCTCACTGGCTAGTTATTTGTGTTGGGGACTATCCAGTTTCTGCATTGGCCATGGAGAAGTTACATTATTTCCTATCTAATGGCTTGCCACATAAACCATGGCCATTTCCCCATTAAGCCCACTTTCTGTCACCCTCAGTATTGTGCTCCTAAGAATCACAGAATCAGAGTTTCTGTGGTTTGTGAGAAACGACTTGCCCCAGGACACATTTTTATGTGCATTCCCTAAATTTTTCTTAATTTCATATTCCTTTTGATCACTGCTTCAGTTGGGCCTGAGCAACTACACAAGTCTGTTGTTATTTCTTGTCCAAACACCTCGCTGATCACCTTTACTGCCTGGGTTTTGGAGACTTTGCTGCCGTCGGCTACAGCGTCAAAATTCCCCGTGCACAAAGCCAAGCCTGACCGCAGCACGATGGTGGCCATCTGCGGCCTGCCCAAGGCAGCCATGGCACCACAGCCATGCCCAGCGGGACACTGCCTGGTGGCTGGGGCTGTACCGGCTGCTCATAGGACATTTCACAGCTGGGACAAGTGTAAAAAGAGCACAGGGCTCCTAGAATGAGCATCCAGAGCTGACCAGCCACAATGGTGCGCTTCCCTCTCATGAAATGAGGGGTCTCCTGGAAATCGAAGGCTCTTTCTCCCCCAAGACGAATGTCCCCAGAAGAGCTGCTTTGGCTCAGAAGCG